GTCAATATGGAGCAAAATCTCGGAGGAATATTTAGCTTATTGAACTATACCACGAAGGATTAAGGCAGTTCTGAAGGCAAAAGGGGGTCCAACCCGGTAATAGGAAGGTGTACCTAATAAAGTGGCCGGTGAGTGCATGCTTACATTATGACAGAATTTTGTGATTTCATTTCAATTATTAAGTTAAACCCTATTCATTATAAAAAAACATTATGTGTATTATTTTATAAAAATTTATATTTAAAATTAAAACAAATGCATGAGGACAAGATTATTTAAAAATTTTTTGCTCTTTATATAAATAATAAAAAATTTAAATGTATATTTAATTAAAGGTTTTGTCTGTTTTTTTATCAGTTTAATTTATTTTGCTTGTGTTGTCACATGATTTATATATACATATAATATATATATATATATATATAATTATATATATATTATATAATAATAAATATATATATATATATATATATATATATATATATATATATATATATATATATATATATATATATATATATATATATATATATATATTATTTATATATATATATATATATATCTATANATACATATATATACACCTACACACACACTCTTACAAACAAACCATATATATATATATATATATATATATATATATATATATATATATATATATATATATATATATATACACACACACGTCACTACCTGATTTGTTGTTTTTAATTATTATTAAATACCCGTTCGTTATTGTACTGTGACATAACCCACATTTTAGACATGTTATTTTTAATTATGTGTAATTATCACATGTTTAATTCAGAGACTGTTATTTACACCGTCGTTCTCCGGTTGATTTAACGTTACGTTTAATTAAACAAGTCGAATGAATCGGATCTGAATTCCTGCTGCTGGCGGAGCGACACCGGAAGTGCACGTCACAGACACAGGAATGGGCCAAAATAAGCGTTAGCGGAGCAGAAAAACACAGGCACAAACGGAGGATAAAATGCGTCCTCGTGTTGGGTTTGTGCTGCTGGGATGATCCGCGGTTTCAGAGCTCGTTTCGAGGCATCGCAGAGGTAAGATCAAGAACATCTGTGTGCGAGGAACAGCATCACATTTAACCCAGCGAGCACCTGTCAGCTGCTGTCTGACTCGGGTTTATGATAAACACTTAAACATGTTGCTCTACAGCCACATACAGTCCTGTGGCTCTGTTTTAATGAGTGTATTATTTGCTTAAAGTCAAATTTGTTTACGCAGAATTTCAAAATGTGAGATGTATTTTTAGTCAAAGCTTCTCTTTCATCCTCATGATGATGGTGATAGGGTGATGCTGTTTGTTTATTTAGGCTTTTTCCATTTTAATGACTGTATAAACTGATTTCAGTGCTTTATTGTGAAGTAAAGTGTACATTTTTAGTGAAAGCTTCTGTTTTTTCTTCATAATGATGATGGTGGTGGTGATGCTGTTCGTTTATTTGAGCTTTTGTCATTTTTATGTCTATTTTTAGTGACTATAAACTGATTTCAGGGCTATTTTTAATTCAGAGTCCAGTATTGAGATGCAGAGTTTTTGGTTAAACCCATTTCTTTTACTTCATGATGGTGATTATGTTGTTTATTTGAGCTTTTTATATTTTAATGTCTATTTTAATGCCTGTATGAACTGATTTCATGGCTATTTTTCGTGATGTGAGATGTAGATTTGTATTTAAAGCTTCAGTTTTATCTTCGTTATGCTGATAATATTTGTTTATTTTTTAATTTTTATTTTATTTCTATGTAATGACTGTATGAATCTATTTCAATGCTATTTTATATTCAGAATTCAGTAGTGAGATGCGTATTTTTGGTTAAACCTGTTTGTTTTATATTAAGGATGGCGATGATGTTGTTTATTTGTAGATTTTTCCATATTTTTAATTCAGAGTCCAGTATTGAGATGCAGATTTTTGGTTAAATCCATTTCTTTTACACCATGATGGTGATTATGTTTATTTATTTTGATCTTTGTCTATTTTAATGACTGTATAAACTGATATCAGGGCTATTTTTTGTGAGGTGAGAGATGTAGATTTTTAGTTAAGCTTTGGTTTTATCTTAATGATGGTTTTTATATTTCAATGCCTGTTTGAACTGATTTCGGTGCTACTTTTA